TAATACAATGTGAAACACTGTTTCATCTATAGGCTTATTTATTTTATTAGTAGTAATATTAATAATTTTCATAATCTGAGAAGGCTTCACTTCAAAATGAGAAGTTTCAGTAGTAGAACCTTTCAATCACAAATTTTGAATGACTTCATGGCTGCCCATCACCATACCATATTATTTGAAGGACTCACTTACATAAACGCTTAAAATAAGAAAGTTAGGGCCGGATGTAATGGTTCATGCCTGTAATCCCAGCACTTTGGGAGGCCAAGGCAGGCAGATTATGGAGTCAGGAGATCGAGACCATCCTGGTCAACATGGTGAAACCCCGTCTCTACTAAAATACAAAAAATCAGCCAGGCGTGGTGGCGGGTGCCTGTAGTCCGAGCTACTCAGGAGGCTGAGGCAGGGGAATCGCTTGAACCAGGGAGGCGGAGGTTGCAGTGAGCTGAGATTGCACCACTGCATTCCAGCCTGGTGACAGAACGAGACTCTGTCTCAAAAAAAAGGAAGACACTGAACCCCATATAATTGGTTTCAAGCCAGTCCGATAACCTCTATGACTTTTTCAACATTTAAGATACTAGAAAAAACATTATATAACCCTGTTGAAGTTAATTTATAGGTTAAAATCCTTTTTGAGTGGATAATAACAACATCCTTACATTTGCATGGCACTTTAAAGTTTGCAAAGCTCCCCAACACTTCACACTGTTCTCTAACAATGGGATGCAAGGCATAGATCCATATAGGCTACCTGAGGCATGTGGGAGCAGAGGGGACACTGAGAGGCCATTCTCTAGACCCAAAAATCATCTGATCTCCACAGCTAACCCACATTATTGCCTACTGCAGATGGAGGCAGGAATGGTACCTTCTTCACACCAAAGTGGCTGTCTCTGGATCTCCACGGAGATTGCTGGGGTAGACAAAAAGAATCCCAAGCCTGATCTTGGCTACTACTAAGTCAATTCCTTCTTCTGAGAGCAGGAATATAGCCACAAGTTTGGGGAAGAAGTGTGATGAAGAGAAGCTAAGAGGGCCTAAACATTTCTCCTTGCACACAAAAAAGTAAGTAAATGTTATCTAAAGTTTCTCTGGTCACCCACCCTTCATCAATGTTTTGGAATTCTCTTTTTTTATGCTTCATTTTGAGTTGTTTCTTGAAACTCTAACCCTTAAAAATTAGGTGTCTTCTTTTAAGGATCAAGATACTTTTACCCCACTGTTGTTTAATGTTTTGTGTTTATTTAGGGGATTTTAAAATTATAGGATAGGTAATCTGCTTTCCTAGGTGCCTGAACATATATACATTTTTTGCTTCTTTTAGCAAGTTTTTATAATGGTTTTTAAATTATTCTGTCTTAGATTGTGCATATTTCTTTTCTTTTTTTGAGACAGGGTCCTGTGTCACTCAGGCCGGAGTGGTGCAATCACGGCTCACTGCAGCCTTGACCTCCCAGGCTCAAGTGATCCTTCTACCTCAGACTCCCAGGTAGCTGGGACTACAGGCAAGCACCACCACACCCAGCTAATTTTTGTATCTTTTGTAGATAATGGGGTCTTACCATGTTGCCCAGGTTGGTCTTGAACTCCTAGGCTCAAGCAATCTGCCTGCCTTGGCCTCCCAAAGTGCTAGGATTACAGATGTGAGCCACCACACCTGGCCACATTGTGCGTATTTCTAAAGCAATCCTGAATCTTTTCTGGAAGCAAGAAGACTGTAAATATAAAGTTGTAAACTAAAAAAGTACAAATCTTGACAATAAAGGTAAAATAAATTCTATGCCTCAGTTTTCTACAAGGGTTCTTCCCTGAATACTTATTGGTGCTTATTAATGTTCCTGCTGCTATACAAGGTAGTGGAGATGCAGAGATGATTCTATCATTCTTGCCCACAAGGAGCTCAGAGTCCGGAGGAGGAGGGTGACACAAAACACATGTGCGGCAAGGGCTAACCAGGAGGTGTGTGAAGAAGGGTGGTATGGGACAGGAGTGCAGGGAGGGGGCCTATGTCACTCTAGGGGTGGGGAGTGTAAGTAGTGAAAAGGTGGGTAAGAGAAGAAAAACAGACACAGGTGGGGAAGGGAAAGGGAACGCTGCTCAACCTTGAAGTCTGCTAAAGTCCCAAGTGACCAAGATCAAATCTATATATTAATAATGTTCTTTCTTTGTAAAGAAAACACCACTGTAAACTTTTTTAGTGGGGGATTACTATTTCTAAAATTGGAATTACAAGCCACTTGCATTTTATGCATATTATGGAAAGTCAGGTAGTTTTGAAATCTTTTCCTTTACTAAATTCTAATGAAGGAAATTTTTAACTTTCCATCCTGGCAAATGGACACAGTTATAGAGAAGTCATGCACTGGGCTTTTAATGCCTGTAGCATTTTCAGTGTTGGGTATTTACATCAGGAACTTTTTAACTTTGAGCTGTGGCAGTCTGGGGAAGCCTATGGATTCCTTCCAATGAACACAATATATAAGATGTGTAACCATATAAGACAGAGTACATGGGATCCCAGAGCTACCCAATTAGAGTTATCAAAAATATTAAACAAATCTGTGATTAGTAAAATACGTGTTTCTTTCTAAATAACAGGAGGCAGTGGCAAGTCTAACAACTACCATGATTTTAAAGTAGGAATGAGAATAATCCATAGAGATATCTGTCTCAATTATAATAAGATATAAGAATATCAGTGATCGCCTTTAGTGACAAACTCCTATGTACAGATAACTACTGTAGTCTGTTGTCTCTGTTCAAAATGAAGAGAAAGCTAAATTTCCTTTAGAGGCAAGTGAAAATGAATATTAATGTATTTTCTCATCTTAGTTCACAGACCCCTCCTCTGACTTAAAAGGAATCCAGGTAAAAAATCTCTGACTTAAGTGGCACCCTCTCTCTGTTATCTGCCTATGGGCCAGAAGAGGTTAAACTGAGAGTTGGTTGCAATGTGGAGGCTCAGATTTTCCACTGTGGTTGAGGAGAAAGCATACCCTACTCTTACTTACATGTAAGCCTTGTAGTTGTTGCCGATCTTCTGGACCCGGATGTCATACTTGGAGTCAATGAAAGGCTCTGCAGTGGCATAGGTCTGGGTAAGAGCCACCACACTGGCAATGTCCTGGAAGTCGTAGTGGTTTTCCACTTTGACCTAATGTTGGAGCAAGGCAGAAAGGGGGAAAGGGAGACACACACATACACACACTGAGAAGTCACAAGGGCCCTGAGCCTCCAAACCCACGAATATGTATCCGATCCAGACACTAATCTGGGTGCCACATCTTCCCAGGAGGCCCCTTTTCCCTAGCTTCCCTTCCCAGAACTCAGGGGCCACACTTGCTGCAAAGGACCCAGAGGACCAAGCAGGTGGCTTGCATTCTGCTTACTGAAAGAGGTCTGGTTGGGTGACACTCATGGCTTTAGAGGTGGCAAATCATCTTCTCTTTGGAAAGAATTCATCAGTGACAGAGGGAGAAGAGCAGTTCACAAATGGGCGCTCTGAAAACTGCCCTTCTTGGTTCAACCCTGAAGCATAGCAGGCCTCTCTGCCTCACCTTGCCCATGCCTGAGTGAGCGTGGCCAATCTTCACCACCACAGGGAACGTGGGCAGTGTCAGCTGAAATCAGAAAAGAAAGGAATAAACTGTCAGAGTGTGCCCATCTCTCTGTGGAATCCTACAAATATTTTTCTTGGGAATGCCCTTGGGAGGGTTCTTTAAAGAAAGAACTAGTCCAATCTACTTGCTTTACTGATTAAAAAACTGAGACCCATGGAATGACAGTGACTTTCCAGGGTCACACAGCATATTACTGGCAGTGCTACAGGAACCCTGTTCTCTTATTTGGTATACCCTACATCTTTAAAATGTATCCTTTGAAGGAAATAATGTTGACCCTGATGAAAAGTCAGACTCCTATGGGAACTAAGATTTGAACAGATATTGGGGGTATCTGGCCTGATGATTTCAGAATTCCTGGTTGAGGCCAGTCAAGGCTGGAAAACAGAACGTCAAAGGGCTTTAGAAATCACATAGTTCAACTCTACTTTATGGAGAAAAAACTGATGCCCAGAGAGGCAAAAGTCACAAAGTTATAGTGACAGTCAGAATTGGAATCCAGCCTCCCACTATCCAGTCCAGCACCACGTGGAAACATCCCACAGCAATAATCCCATGGAGATTTGGGATTTGGAGGCTTGGAACACTACGCTCAAACAGCAGACAAGGCTCTGGTCACAGTCACTCCCAAGTCCCCTGCTTCTTTGTTTTCTCTTTTTTTTTTTTTTTTTTTTTTTTTTTTGAGATGGAGTCTCACTCTGTCGCCCAGACTGGAGTGCAGTGGCACAATCTCAGCTCACTGCAACCTCCGCCTCCTGGGTTCAAGCCATTCTCTTGCCTCAGCCTCCTGAGTACCTGGGACTACAGGTGTAGGCCACCATGCCCGGCTAATTTTTGTATTTTTAGTAGAGATGGAGTTTCACCATGTTGGCCAGGGTGATCTCCAACTCCTGACCTCAGGTGATCAACCCGCCTTGGCCTCCCAAAGCACTGGGATTACAGGTGTGAGCCACTGTGCCCAGTCTGCTTCTTTGTTTTCTAAGCTATCCCACCTTCTAGAACATGACATAGTCTCCAGTGAGAAGGGACATGCAATAAAAATTAGTGTAGCCTAGGGCCTCAAGAGGGCTTTGAGGTCCAAGGTTTGCTCTAAGTGATGGGACACCTTGTGTTTTGTACCCACACCAAGAGCGCTGTCTCCAGCTATCTGGAGAGTCTGAGGCTCTGGGAGTGAGAAAGGGTTTCTAAAGCACTGGCTGCTGCTTTGACATCTCTCCCCACCCCCCAGGCAACAGAGCCAAGACACACACACCCCAACTTTCTCTGTCCTGTTCTATTACTGTTTGCTGTTGCTTTGGAGCCTCATAAATAGGGCATTGAAAGCACTTCCTGCAGCTGAAAGAAGCCCTGAGTAGCTCGTCTCATTCCCAGCGTGCAGCTCAGCAAGGGGTCCGTCTTTCTCTGTCACTGTCTCTTTTGCCTGTTGTAATTCTGTCTGCCTCTCTGGGACTCTGCCTGTCTCACTCTTTCTGTCTGTGCCTCTCCTCACTCTTGTTCTTTCTGCCTGAATCACAGCCCTCAGTCTTTCTGTCCTCATGCATTTGTCTTTGTGGCTCTTTCCGTTTTTCTGCCCTTGACACCATCCCCTCTCCCAGTGCTTTCCCTTTACTTCCAGACCGCTTCATGACTTAGGCAGGGAAACAGAGGCCAGGGCCTCTTTCCTGGCTTCCCTCTGCATCTTACTGAGTATGCAGGTCGGAAGAGCCTCGGGTCCTGCCGCTGCGGGTGGCCTAGAGCCAAAGGAAGGCGGAGCCCATCGGGGCGGGATTGGCCCTTAGGGCCACCTCATAAAGCCTGGGGCGAGGGGCACGACGGCCTTGGGAAGGAGCCCTGCTGGGGCTGTTCGGTCTGACAGACCTCACAGGCTCAGTCGGGCTCTGCAGTGTCATGCCTGGGAGCCCCCGGCCCGCGCCGAGCTGGGCGCTGTTGCTGCGGCTGCTGGCGTTGCTGCGGCCCCCGGGGCTGGGCGAGGCATGCAGCTGCGCCCCGGCGCACCCTCAGCAGCACATCTGCCACTCGGCACTTGGTGAGTCCGAGGTCCGCGAGGTCCACAGCAGGGGGTGGTTGTGGGGGGATTAGTATCTGGCCAGCAGTAGACCAGGAGTCCAGAGGAAAAGGGAGGAGCTCAAATTCCGACCGGTTGCCTCTTGCTGAGGCTGATGGGTCGGGAAGGACCAGGCGCCATAGCAACCTTGCAAGCGCAGAACCTGACTGATTCATAAGGAAATGAAGATTGCGTCAGCGACTTTCATAGCGACGTCCCTCACTCTGGCCATACTGCAATTATGGAGTGTCACTGAACAAGGTGTCACCGGAGCTATCTGATGATTATTCTGAACTACTGGACTGGGGACAGAAAGGGGAGGGCAGAGGGCTTGCATTATAACTACCCGTGTCTGTCCAGGCCTATAACTGAGGTTGCCACCAAGCCCCTACCGCAACACACACGTTCTGTCCTTTCTTTTCCCTCTGCCTGGAATGCCCTCCCTCACACCCTTAAATTCCTGGCAGACTCCTACTCATCCTTCAAGGTCTAACTTAGGTCTCTCCCCTTCTCTGCAGGCTCCCTGGCTCCTTGGTGCCGCCTCAGCATCTAACCGTCTTAGCGCTCCTACTATGCTGTGCTATTGTTCTTTACAAGTATGCCCTGCACTAGATCAAGAGCTCTGCAGGATGGGGACCCTGTCTTAATCACATCTATGGGCCTAGTGCCTAGTGCAGGGCCAGGCACAGAGGAAGAACGTCATCAACAGTTTTTGGTTATTAATGCTCAAATGGCAAGAGATGCAATACCTCAGTGCAGGGTCAGAACATTTATGAATTCAATAAACATTTACTAATGTCAACTGTAGGCAGGCTGGGAGGCCTTGACCACAGCAATAAACTTCACACCAACTGCCCTGAAGGGGCTCCTCCTCCCTTCTGTACTCTGACTCCTACCCTGTGCCCCACTGCACAAACGGCTATGGAGAACTAGAGCTCTCCAGACTAACTGGTTCGAAAAGGCAGAAAGAGCTTAGCGCTTATAGAACCTAATAAGCCTGAGGGGTTTGGAACTTCCAGGGACTGCAGAGGAGGCGTTTCCAGGTCCCCCTTCTCACACATCACGTTGCTTACAACCTGGTCACACCAAAACCAAGAATTGCCCTATAGACTTCTTCAGGGACCCTGGATCATCCAGACCTCAGGTGTATTGCCCCCACCAGCTGCTAAAGGTTCCCTCTTTTTTCTTCCTATGCAGTGATTCGGGCCAAAATCTCCAGTGAGAAGGTAGTTCCTGCCAGTGCAGACCCTGCTGACACTGAAAAAATGCTCCGGTATGAAATCAAACAGATAAAGGTACATGGGGGCAGGCTGGGATGTGTAGCCCCTAAGGCTGATAGAGGAAGTGGGGTCTGTGTTCTGGGAGGGCTGGTAACTTTCAGGTGGCCTGGCTCAGTGATCCTTGGGTCTAGATGCTGAAGTGGAACTGGATGAGATTTGGAGGCAAAGCCCATAGAATCCCAGGGATATTGCAGGGGAGGGCCTCCGCGTCCATCTGGTCCCACAGCTGCTGGTGTATGGTGCCACTACAGGTACCTACTGGAATAAACCAAGGTTTAGGTGTTTTTTTGTTTGTTTTTTTTTAAGACAGAAAATAACCCAGTAGGGACATCTGAGGACACAAAATCCTGAACTGGACTTCTGCTTAAATATTTAGGCTGAGAAATGAGAAATTTTTGCCTGTTAATATATGTAGTACACTCACTTACTCAATATTGCTTTTTTTTTTTTTTTTGTAATTGCCTGTCAGATGTTCAAAGGGTTTGAGAAAGTCAAGGATGTTCAGTATATCTATACACCTTTTGACTCTTCCCTCTGTGGTGTGAAACTAGAAGCCAACAGCCAGAAGCAGTACCTCTTGACTGGTAAGTTAAAGACCAGCAACTGGCCTTAATATAATAGATTCTGCCCTAGGGAAGGTAGTGAGAAAGGAGCCAGGGTCTTCCTTGGGCAGCAGGCTGAGCCAGGTGGCATTTTCTTGGACATAAAACAGAGCTGTGTTAGTGACAGACAACCTCTGAGTTGGGAGGAGCCTTGTAACCTCCCTTTAAATGTAAGAGTTCTCATTACAGTGATCCTGGCTACTGTTTCACTATTTTAAGGACAGGTTGCTCACCCAGTATAGAGCACCTGCTTCCATTTTCAAATAGTTTAAATTAGTATCAGATTTTTGGCAAAGTCAAAATCTCCTCTCTAAAACTGCTCCTTGCAGGTCAACTCTGCCTTTTCCACAGGACCTAATAGGAGCTTGAGTCTAACATAGTTCTGTCTCTGTGAACTTGGGCCCAGGCAGGATTCCTCCATACTGAATTGGTTTGGATAGAACAGTTAAAGAATCACACAAGTATATGACTCCACAAATGAATGCAACATTAAATTATTTTGGAGTTCAGGGAATAGAACTGTTTGGTAGCTGTGAACTATCAGGGAAGCTTCATTGTGTAAGTGGGATCTAAACTGGCCCGAAAACACACAACAATATTTAGAAAGAAAGCAAGGGAAAGAAAAAGCACAGCTGTGGGGGAGGGAATAGGTGAAGGGATTCCACTATCTATCCACACATTCAGCAATGAATGACCACTTAGTCACTGCCATGCCTTGGCCAGGAGAGTGGAGATTCAGTAACAAGGCACAGTCCTCAAAAGAGTTCACTGTCCAGACATGGCTCTTGATGAGTCATAGGCACTGGAGGCTACAATGATAAGGGCTTCCCAGCTCTGAAGATGTGAAATTGTGCAGAACTGAGGAGTTCCTGGATGGGACAGGCAGAGGCAGGACATACTACTGAGCCCTGCAGTTCCCAGGTCTGGCAGACCAGGCCCTTTCAAACTCTGTTATCCCACCTCCTTCCTAAGCACCTACCCTCTGTGTGTCTAGCCTGCTGCCAGGCATGGAGGTAAATCAGGGGAAATGAGGAAACATGTTCTCTGCTTTTGGGGAGGTCAAGTCTAACTGAGGGTGGGGATAAATGACAAAAAACTAGTCTACGGAAAAGTTATCAATGGCACCCATGTCCTACAGGAGAAGGCACAAGCTCCTCTGCCTGGTGTTGAAAGCTCTTTGTGACCAGAACACTGCTGCCCTCTCTAGCATTGTCTTCTGTCATTTGTCAATGTCAGTTCCCAGCCCCTCACTTTCCCAAGAGCTGAACTCAGCTACCTGCAGTTGCAGAAGGTATGCTGCCAGGCTGTGTCCCCCTGCCTCTGCACAGGATAGATGCAATGACAGGAAGCCCTTCCCCCAACCTGTCTGGCAGGTGAACTCCCACTCATCCCTTCAAGGCCCAATGCAAGCACAGTCTCCTCTGATACACCCTCCTTGTCCCACGCCCCTTCCATAGATGGAAATAATTGTATGTTCCTTTGTTCTTATACTGTACTTTGTATAGAACTGCACGATAGTGTAATTTCCCCTGCTTATCTATCAACCCTACTCATTTGTAAGCTCCTTGGGAGCAGAGATCCTGTCATTTTTATATCTGTATTTCTGGTACTAGATCACAGTAGTCACTCAGTGAGTAAATGATTGAACGACTAAGGTTCTAAAAGAGGTATGGGCTAGGTGGTCAGAGATGGCTTTGAGGTGGCACTGAAAGGGTCTTTGAAAGGCAAAAAGGAATTTCATAGATAAAAAGGGGGAAATGTCCTATGGGGAAGGGGAAAGACTAACTAACCTAGAGCAGGAGACTGGCCTGTGCAGATACTAGGAAGGACTGGAAAGGGGGAAGGGGCCTATTATTTACTGAATATCTTCTGTGGGACCACAACTGTGCTGGGAACTTTATAGACATTCTCTCATTTAATCTGACAACTTTATAATTTTCATTTTCCAGCTGAGAGGTTATACAACTTCCTTAAGATCATTCAGCTAGTAAATGACAGAAAAGAAAGAGGGGGGGTCCTACACAGACTCTGACTTTAAAGACCACATTCTTCTCTCTGTACCATGCTAAATGAAAAGGCCTTCACCAGATCCTATAACTCTGTCTCATACAAATATAATCTGTTTATCTTTTTGCTAGAAAGATTATAGTAGTTTTATTTTTTGGTCCCTTTATTGAGTCCCATGCCACCACTGCCACCAAAAAGTCACTGGGGAGGCTGCAATTCTGGGCTCTTCAAGAACCTGGGCCCCTGGAGCTCCGGGAGAAGAATCCTCATGCTTGACTCTCCTCCATCTCCCCTTGAAGGTCAGGTCCTCAGTGATGGAAAAGTCTTCATCCATCTGTGCAACTACATTGAGCCCTGGGAGGACCTGTCCTTGGTGCAGAGGGAAAGTCTGAATCATCACTACCATCTGAACTGTGGCTGCCAAGTAAGGGAATGTCCATTTCCTAAGTCTTTAGGGATGGGGGAAGGGTTCTGAGCCTTCATTCATGCATGAATTTATTCACTTACTAGACTATACTTGAGATCTGCCATGGATCAGGCACTGTATGAAGTTGGGGATGAGAAAGCAATATAGTCTATAGGCCCTGATCTCAAAGTACTTACACTTTGGCTGGGAAGGTGGCCATCATAGGAAGCAGAACGAGATACCTGTAATACAGCCACCCTTTAAAGACAGTCACTTCTTTGCCAGCCACTATAATAGTAAATTTACTGTAAATGTTTAATTTAGTCTCCAAAACATATTTGTGAAGAATTAAGATTTCCATTTTAAGGTGAAGAAATGAAAGCTCTGGGAAGTGAAGTGACTTGCTCAAGGTCAGTGGTAGAGTAAGGACCCTCAGAGTTGTCTGATTCCAGAGATGCCACTAAGTGGCAATATTGAATACGGGGAACCTTGGGGAAGGAGAATCCAGGGGAAGATTGGGGACTAGGAAAGGCTTGATAAGACAGGGGCATTTGAGATGGGCTGGCAGGGTATGTAGGAACCTGAAAGGTAGCAATGGAAAAAGAAGGACACCATACTCACTTTAATGTTGTGTGGCCATGACTCTAGATCACTACCTGCTATACAGTACCCTGTATCATCTCGGCCCCTAATGAGTGCCTCTGGACAGACTGGCTGTTGGAACGAAAGCTCTATGGTTACCAGGCTCAGCATTATGTCTGTATGAAGCATGTTGACGGCACCTGCAGCTGGTACCGGGGCCACCTGCCTCTCAGGAAGGAGTTTGTTGACATCATCCAGCCCTAGTAGGGACCAGTGACCATCACATCCCTTCAAGAGTCCTGAAGATCAAGCCGGTTCTCCTCCCCTGCAGAGCTTTGGCCATTACCACTTGACTTCTTGCTGCCAGCTAATAAGAAGTGCCAAGTGGACGGTCTGGCCACTGTCAGGGCAGGGAAGGGGCCATGACTTTTCTGCCCTGCCCTCAGCCTGTCGCCCCTGCCTCCCAAACCCCATTAGTCTAGCCTTGTAGCTGTTACTGCAAGTGTTTCTTTTGGCTTAGTTTGTTTTCTAAAGCCAGGATTATTCTCTTTCCTCCCAAGGAAAACGTGTTTTCCTTTGTCTTAATCGATCTGGTAGGGGAGAAATGGTGAATGTCATACATATGAGATGGTATATCCTTGTGATGTACAATACCAGAAGGTGGGTTGACAGCATCATAAACAGACTGACTGGCGGGAATGAAAACAACAACATACTGTGGCTGTGTATCCTCTACTTCCCCTGTCTCAACTCATCCTAATCCTCTGATACACTTTCATCTGTTTGGGGGAGTCATTTGGGGGACACGGAATCACTCAATGTGAGAGTTAGAATGGCCTAACCTGCCTCCCAATGCTGTTATCCCATCTACAGCATTTCTGGCAGAGGGTCCTGCCTGGTCAGCACCTCTTTGAATAAGAATGCACTTATTGTCTCAGAATAGGTACTACCTCTCCAGGTTAACTCTCCTTAACGCCCTCAACTGATGTCCATAAGGCTTCTCTTCTGTCTCTTTTTGAATTACTAACATCTTCATTCCTATTTTAGAACCTTTTAAAAGCCACAAAGCCTTTTACTTATAGAGTTGAAATCCCCCTTTGTTGGCTTCTTACACCACAGAGAGGTGGTCCTCTCTTGAGGGCAAATTTCAGGATAGAGCACCAGAGAGAAATAGCACAAAGGCCCTTGAGGGGAAAGGACGGTAGGTAGGGAATATACCTGGCAATTGAGGCAATTTTTTTCCAGCGGCCAGCCCTGCTAGATTTTACAGCAGGAAAAAGCCAGTTTTCATCCCCAGAGAGCCCCCTGTACCCTTCAGCTGAGTACTCTCACCATTGTGTCTTGGGCTCCCTGAGATTTCCCAACCAAAGGACCCTTAGGGCTCCTCAGCCTCTGCAAGGCTTCCTGGCTTGCCCTGAAAGGAAAAGTCCTGATATTGGCCTCTAGGATTTATTAAGGACAAGAGCTTAAAGTTTCAGAGCTTCTCCCTGGGGAAGCTCTGGCAAAGATGACAGAGATGGTTCTTTTCAAGACCCAAGGTTGTTTTTTGATATGTGGTCTGCTGCCAAACAGGGTCATAGACAATGTGTCAGAAGAAGGCTCTTGATTTGCAGAAATGGTGTAAACGGAGACCCCTTTTGGCCAAGGAAGTGGGGAGGCGGGGACAAACATAATCTCTGTTCCACTTGGAATGCTTTGCAGGGAGTCTCCATTGGTGGGTTAAGCAAGATCACCAATTGATCACACCAGCCTGGGGCAGAGGGTGTGGGGACAGGGAAGAAGGGAGTTTGAGCTCCAGGTCAACATTTGCACAGGAAAAACATTGGCAATAGCCTCCTTACCAACCAACCGTCCCATCTCTCTGCTCCTTCTGACTTACTAGGATGGCAGAAGGCACAATATTAACCCAGCCTTATCACAGTTGTGGAAGCGCCAGGGGAATGGGAGAGTCAGGGGATTAATAATAGTAGGAGCAATGCCCTACATCTAGTAGAGTGCTTCACACTTTCCCAGAGGCTATTACTTAATGACTCTCACTTAAATTGTGTATGTACCCTATTAGAGTATCCTGTGCAAGGATAATTATGCCCACTTGACCGTCTTATTGGAAACTGCACACAGTGAGGAAATGTAGCTTGTTCAACAACAAGTGGCACAGTCAGGGCTGGGACTCAAAAGCAGTGAGATCTGATTGTTGGTCCAGAAGTTTGTTATTCTCTCAGCTTGATTAAACTGCCCTTACTCCTGTTCTTCCCTATTCTATCTCCAGAATTTGACAAGAGGCTGTCAGCTAAAATCTAGCTATTCCAGCCACACAAGTTCTGTAGTTCAACCCAGTGGAGTCTTTGGGGTTGAGACGCTGAGGCCCTTGTCAGAGCCCCACAGTCACCAGGTGGCTAAGTGCAAAATGAAAACAGCAGAAAGACTAATATCCCCACTGAGCCACTTACCATCTCTTTGTGGTTGGGGTAGTATGTCTGCTCAATGAGAGGGAACTTTTCTCCTCCCAGTGTCTTGTAGATGGCGACCAGCTGGGCAAACTGCAAAGGAAAGCAAATGTTACGCTTATCTTAGATAACTTCTGAAACAGGCAAAACATCAACTCATCAAATATTTATTGAGCCTTTGTTCTGTGGAGGACTTTATGCTAAGCATTGTGAGGATATAAAAGAAGTGTACAATTCCTATTCCCAAGGATATGATCTGCATTAGTTGGGGAAGGGAAAATGAGTGAGCTAAAATTCAATTACCTTTCTCAATTGTAATGGTGTTTCAAATCAAATTGATGAACTATTTTATCATCTTCATTTTACATATGGGACCTAGAGAGGTTACAAAACTTTCCTAAAGTCACAGAACTGCAAGGTGAAGTTGGAAGTAAAACTTGGGTCTCTAACTTTCCACATCTGCATCCCCGAGTGATGGCAAGGCATGAAGCTGGATAGGTAACATGGGCCAACTCTTGGAAGTTCAAATGTCAGGCAAAAGAATGATGGATTTTTCCGGTAAGCAGTATGGAGCCACCAAGAGTTTCAGCAGGAGGCGTCATAAAATGAAGTTCTTCAGGAAGATTAGAATGGTCATGGTATGTGGGATACACAGGCCCAGTCTTTCTGGGACTTACTACCCAACCAGGGACTGAACTTACTGGACCCTTTGCCTACGTATGAGAAACTGGAATAGCTCCATGGGGAAGGGGCAAAGTACACATATTTACAGTGTCAGGGTTGAAAGGTTTTCTTAGTGCACAGCTGGGCTCCCCCACGCTGCTCCATTTTATAAATGAAGAAGTTGAGGCCCAGAGAGGTCACTTGCCCAAGGTCGCACAATAGTTAATTAAGCCAGGTTCATAGCAAGGCCCCTTCATTTCCAATCCATAACTCTCCTTATTCCTGCAAGTAGCTGCCTTTCAGGCTCTGCAGAAACTATGCCCTTTCCACAGGAAACACAGGACTTTCCTGCTCAATCCCGTCACATACACACCTATACTCCCATCCCCAGTGCATCATCAGCAGAGGAAACACATCTCTCTAGGGCTACTGGATTAGTTCACACTCAGTCACTGGTGTCTGGAGTGGCTAGAAGGGAAAGCTGTTAGATGAAATCTACTTATCAGAGAAAGGAAGACTAGAACATTTTTCAAAAGCTCAGGTCCTGTTCTCTGCAAGCGATGCTGGCACATAAGCCAGGAAGGGAAGAGGAGGTTGGGGCAGTAAAAGCTTGGAACTGGGTTGTTAGAAAACTGAAATCTTCTGATTCTTGTTCTGTTAACTTCCTAGGTGTCCTTGGCCAAACGAGTTTTCCTCTCTGGATTTCACTTTCTTCATATATAAAATGGGAGGGTTAAATGTTATCAGTTCCTCAAACTTTGTACCATAAATAATATCTCTTTATTATATTTCCCCCAAACTCTGCTATCAAACTGCAGTTTAAGTGATCCTCTGTTGTGGTCCTTTTGTAGGTATAGATATAATTTTGTTATTTTTGAAATGCTGGAAAACACTGGAATTCCTGAGTCCCTCCCTTTAGTGACAAACAATTGGTGACTCTAGAGCTCTAGAGCCTCCTTCAGGACTGAAAGGATGATTCATGGACCCTCAAGCCCCTAAGATATCACTGTCAAAAGGGACTTTATGGAGTCTCTAGACCAGCCCTCTCATTTGACAAATTGAGATTGAGGCTGGAGAGCAAAGGAAAGTGCAGGCTCCTGGATTACATTCTGGAGTCAGGGCTGCACTGCAAGAGCACTCAGGTCTCTTTTCCTTGCTGGGTGCATTCACCATTGTACCCTGCTGTCCTCGCTGTCTTTGTTCCTTCAATTTGCTTTAACTATCAAGAATGAACCCTCAGACTTTTCCTGCCTTCTCTGATTCTCCCCACCTGCTCATCTGACCTTTATGTCCTACCTGCCCATCTGGGCCTGGACTCCTGCTCTGCCTCTGGACACCTGCCTGGGCTCCCAAGGCTCTCCAACATCCCTGGGGAGCTAATGCCAGCTCTGCCAAATGACCTCTGTCCTGCTGCAGCCCACGCTCTGGCATGGCACCAAGGCATGTGGGGCCCTACCTTTCCAGCATGTGGGAGAGTTACACAGACACCACACGGATGCCAGGACAGCCTGTGGCAGACTCCCAGAGCCCTGCAACAGCCAACACAATAATGACAGCCAGTTCCCAGGCTCTCGTTGGGTCTCAGGGAGCTCATCCCACTCTCCTCTCCAGCAGTCCCTGTCTGCTCAAGGTAGTGAGCTTGGCATCTAACCCATACCTCCCTGGAAATTTAGATTAAATCACAGCCATAGAGTCACCAATTAAACAAATGTAACATCTGATAAGGGCTGTTTACACATAGACAAAAGAATGAATTTGGGAGCTGGGGGTGCTGTTGGCAATTAATAGGAAGATATGTCCATTATAACCACTCATCGAATGAATCAAGAAAGATTTCTTGGAAAACATGGGATTCCAGATCCATTTGAGTAATGTGTCCCCATGCCTATCACTCCTGGAAATTAAATGATTTAATTTAACTCTGGTACACTTGTCTCCAAAAACCCAGAAAAACTGACAGAATTTCAGATAGATTGGCAGCAATAAAGGGTGGTGCCATTCTTGATTTGTCTGGAATGCTGCTTTCACTGACCGGTCCACTTCTGCTCCCCAAATCCCAGTGGCCTGCCCTGACCAACTTCAGAGACAGCAATGTGCTCAGAGACAGAGTCGTGCAAGGTAGAGCCTTTTCCAACCCAACCAAAGTATCTCCTCACATCAATAGCAGTCACAGTAAAGATATTGAGAAACACAACCCAAAGTCATCAACTGAGAGGGACCCTCCCCTCACAATCACCAAATTTGTCCACTCCCATGAACAAGCAGAGAACAATATGTAAAACGTCATTCATGTGGCAGCTGCTTAGTGAAACTGAAGGGAGAACTTGGGGTCTGGCCAGGGTGCCCTGCTGTTCTCATGCAGTGCCCAAGGCAATGTGCTCAGATTGTGAATGGGTGAGAGTGTGACCCCTCACCAGATCCCAGATCCCAGGAGGAGCAAAGCCCTAGCCACAGGCTCTCCCCATTCTTCCTGCCCTGGCCTCTGGCACAGTTTAGGAAAAGAAAACAGGGAACAAATTATTTTTTTTTTCTTTTTTGTTTTTCAGACTGAGTCTCACTCTGTTGCCCAGGCTGGAGTGCAGTGGCGCGATCTTGGCT